TTTTTTTTTTTTTTAATGTTTATTTATTTAGTTTGGGAGAGAGACTTAGAGCATGAGCAGGGGAGGGGCAGAGGGAGGGAGACACAGAATCTGAAGCAGGCTCCAGGCTCCGAGCTGTCAGCACAGAGCCCAACGCCAGGCTTCAACTCATGAACAGCAAGATCATGACCTGAGCTGAACTCGGAGGCTTAACCGACTGAGCCACCCAGACCCCCTCACTTGTATTATCATCTTTACCTAGAAGAAGGTAGTAGAGGATTGTGAAGAACCTCACTCCTTATTCTAACACAACACTTCAAGGGGCGCCTGGGCGGCTCAGTCGGTTAAGCATCTGACTTTGGCTCGGGTCATGATCTCACAGTTTGTGGGTTCGAGCCCTGGGACAGGTTCTGTGCTGACAGCTCAGAGCCTGGAGCCTGCTTCAGATTCCATGTCTCCCTCTCTCTCTGTCCCTTCCCCGCTTGCACTCTGTCTCTCTCTCTCTCTCTCTCTCTCTCTCTCTCCAAAATGAATAAACATTAAAATATTTTAAATAAATAAATAAAATAACACTTCAAGGTAGAAAATCAGGGCACTTTATTACAGGAAACCCTGAAAAAGTTATATTCCAGATGTATTAGACTTTTAGGCATCCAATACTATGTAAAGATTTTAATGTAAATTTCTTTCATGTACCACTTAAGTAATGGAGAACTCTCTCAAATCTGAGATGCTACTTTCAAGCAGTCGGCTTTCTAATTACTTTAAAATGTGTATTACAATATTTCTCGACTTCTTTTTGGATAAATCCCAGTATAAAACTCTTCTAATAAAAAATGTTACCCATGAGTTTGCCAAATTGAGTATTTAATCTATTAGTATAATCTTGGCATTTATGATAGTAGGAATCAATATATGTCTTTTGTGAATAAAAACATTTAAGTTTTCTTTTTAAAAACAGATTAGATTGAGACCTTTAATCTAAGTTTTCTTTTTAAAAACAGATTAGATTGAGACCTTTAATCTAATTTAAGTTTTCTTTTTAAAAACAGATTGGATTGAAGGTGTCAATCTAATCTGTTTTTAAAAAGAAAACTTAAATGTTTTTTTCACTTGTTTTGCTTTTCTTTATACCTTTCATCTTAATTGTTGTGTTTTATTTTGGTTTTAGGGTGTTTTTTTTCTATTAAGTTGCTCTTTTGCCATTCTATCATATAGACTTATGTTTATTTATTAGTCAGGACTTTGACTGTGGGGACAGAAATCCAGATCAAACTATCTTAGGCAAAGGGTAGAATTTCTTATAAGGATACTAGATTCTATCAAGTACTAGCAAAACCATGGGCAGAGCAGGGATGCCCCTGATCCTTAGGGATGACTTCAACACTGTCAGAACATTCTTTTGATTGGTTTCATTCCTTTTTGAAGATTTTCAGAAGCATAACTCCTAGCATCTCCCTAGAGCTCTCAGGAAGATATTATATCTCTCTGCTAAGTTTCCATATGACCCTGAACCAATCACATGAGTCTGGGGTTTGACTATGGTCTAGTTTGGTCAGAAAATCAGGGAGTTAGAGTCATGCAAAAGCACGATCATCCTCACTAAAGTTAAATGTGGACAGAAAGCACAGAAAAGTGAGACATTTACAACAGTCAGCACCTTGGGCTTCTCCTAAAGTTAGGGGTGTATCTGTATATAATTGGAATAAAACACAGTGTTCTGCTATCTAATACAAGCATAGTACAATTATTTCCCTTGGTTTGGACAGTATACCACTTAGCTTTAGGTTTTGCTTCAGCAATGAAGTCACATTGATAGTCTATAATGAGATACTTAGTATTCTGAACTTTACTTTATTATTCAGTTACACCATCGCAGTAAGCCTGGAAGGAGAAGTAGATTAATCAGATATAGATTCTTCACTCAGGGAAGAGAGTGATGGTTGCAGGGAGAGAGCATACAGTACTTGAAGTACATATCCTAATACCAGAACACAGCGCTATTCAAAGGCTCAACTCATTTCTGTTTTTGTTTGAGAAATGGGGAAAATAGAAGAATGGGGACACTACATGCTTAGAGAATTAAGGGTATTTTGTTTGTTCTGGGTATGTTCCATAAATTATTAGATCTGTAAAATGACAATTCCAAGTCCTCTGTTTTCTATTAATTATCTCTTAATGGGCAATAAAACTGCTTTGCATCTGTTAGCAAATAAAGATTGTACTAAGAAAAATGGGACCTATGATTTCACGGTTTTTTATTCTTTATAATAGTAAAAATTTTATCATGATAATATAGCATTCATTCCCTTTCACTAAACCTGTCTCCCTTTCACACATACATAAACGCATAGTACTCACAAAGCATTCTGACCTATCCTAACCCCAGGATTCTTCTCATCTTTTAAAGGATCCTTTCTGTCCAAGGATCCATTAAAAACCCTCAGTGTGACTTTTGGTCTCTGTGGGGGCATGAAGTCCACTCCATTAATTTAAGCAGCTATAACATGAACCACATTATAAGTGAAAGTCTTATAATCTCCTGGCACTTCCAGTAGTAAAGAAGTTTGGGTGCCTCTGCCCTATACCAACTTTCATACTATAATAGAGGACAGAAACATAGTTAATAGAGTGTGGACATGTTCTTGGAGCAGATATAACAAAGGAGTTTCTTGTTTGATTACCTGTAAATTTCACTAATAGGAGCAGAAGAGAATGATTAAATTTTATATGGGCATGGAAAGAATAAAAAGTGCCTAACTTTGTATAAACATGGATTCCATAATCCAGAGACAACCACTCTTAGCATATTGGCATATATCTTTCCAGATTTATGTTGTTTTGCATATGTTTTCGAAAATTGGAGACATACATTGTTTAACACATCAGTATTTTAACATACTTTCCTTGATACAATAACAATAATGAGATGAGTTTTAAAATTTAATTGTATTCTATGTAGTAAATACAATAAATTAATTTGTTATTACAGGTTGAGTAAATATTGGTGTCAGTAGAAAAATGTTGGTTGAACACTTTTAAGCTCATAACTAAGTTTGAAAATCTGGGAAATGTTTTTATAGAAATGTGTTTATGACACTACATTGGCTCAGTTTTAGTATTGATTGTGATTTTTAAAGTTTTTCTGCTTTTCTTCCCAGATCCAAGTATTTTAGAACATGCTCAAGAGGTGAGCACTTAACTATAGAGGTAAGTAAGTCTTGAATCTGATTGGATAAAAGTCCCTTCAGGAAGGCAGAAGGGACATTTTTCTTTTCATTAAGGGCCCTAGGTTTAGTATGGACTTGTTATATTTCAATATTATTGATGCCAATGAAAAGGAAAAGAATTGGGGTGGGGAGGGGAGGGGTGAATAGGGCGAAGTTTGCAGAAGATTACGGTCCTATTCTTCTAATAGAATTGCTATTTCTACTGAGAAGTGGTGTTTTTGTTTTTTGTCTTTTTTTTCACAGTGCACAATTCAAAGAGAGGGTACTCTTGTGCAGTTACAATGGCTCAGTAGGCAGTGATTCTAGACATAGATGGTTGGCCTGCCCCAGTAAAGAAGTACAGCAGGATCAAAGCAGAAAGCTGACTTTAAGCAACTCCACAGGATGAATCACTGAGTTTCTTATTCTTTGTGTGTAAAATATAATAATAGAATCTATTCAGTCCCTGCTATGTCCCACCTACTCCACCATAGTTTATAAATGTCATCACACATAATTCTTAATGTAGTTCTGCTGAATGGGTGGCAGTCATCCCATTTTATGGATGAGAATGAGAGGCTTAGACAGGTGAAGAAGTTGGGCTTTGTTACAGCCCATAAATGGCAGAACCTAAATCCAGTCCAAAACTGCCTGGCTTCAAAGGTTGAACACTGTACGTCACTGCCTTCTATATTAAATAAGGAAGCAAGTAAACCAGAAATTAGTTTTTTAAAAAAATCACAAACCAAAAAACAAACAAACAAAAAGTTCAAGATAATAATTTTAAACAATTTTAAGTCACTTCTTTAAAAAAATTTTTTTTTGAAAAAAAAATTTTTTTTTTGAACGTTTATTATTGAGAGACAGAGAGAAACAGAGCATGAGCATTGAAGGGGCAGAGAGAGGAGAAGACACAGAATCCAAAGCGGGCTCCAGGCTCTGAGCTGTTAGCACAGAGTAGGGCTCAAACTCACAAACCGCGAGATCATGACCTAAGCCGAAGTCAGACACTTAACCGACTGAGCCATCCAGGTGCCCCAAGTCACTTCTTTAAATTCTTGTCATTCTAAACCTTTTAAATGCATTGTTTTCTTGATTTTAATCATGTTAATATTTAATAATAAATAATGTTAACAATAAAACTTTTTTCTTTTGGTGGTTATCAAATTATTTATAGTTTTAAGTTCAAATATTTTAGTAATACAGTTTAGTAGTAATGACTTTCATTTAGTCATTGGATATAATACTGTTCATCACATCATCAACAAATTGTTTACTTTCCTGTCTGTAGAAAGACAGACACTATATTTGAGAGCAGTGACTACCATTTGGTAGATTTTCAGTAAACAGTTAATGAATAGATGAATAAATATAAACATTATAAGATAAATTCTTATTTGGGTATCTTTTAAGGCCCTGTTTCTTGAGTAAATTCTACTTCTTATGACATTAATTTTTTTTTTAATTCAAGTGGAAAATTCTGGCAGTATGGGTTTAAAACACCCATATGAAATAATTCAGGTGAAATAGTTTATAAGTTTTAAAAAGTTCCTGATTTATGAAGAAAATTGCTATAATTCTCCTTTTTCTTTTTCATATAAATCATAAATAACAGTATATACTTATCTTGGCTATCTTATAGGACTGTTGAATATATCAAATGAACTAGTGTATAAAGGGGCACATGACTCAAATATCTTAAAAGTATAAAGGTATATTATTTTTGAAGTGAAAAAGTGACAATTTTTTATGAGGTATGTACCTTAGAAAAATATCCCCCCTAACACTTGCTTTCTTGTTCTTTCAGTTTGAGAATCTAGTAGAAAGTGATGAAGTAAGTATTTCCACAGTAGTGCAAAACCCATATTTGTTCTCATGAATCATCGCATTAATCCTAGGTTTTATTTAAAAACTTTTTATTTTACTGTCTTTCAGGATTATTATTTTTTTGGTTTTTATTTTTACTTCTTAGTCCCTAATTATGTCCTTTTACCAATTTATATTAGCATATCATTCAGAATTTTCTCATGTGTAACATATATAATACTATATATGGTATATTACATATAGTTTTATATGTTGGTTTCATGTATTTTATATATATAAATATATATCATATTTTTTTTTTAATTTTTTTTTTATTTTCAACATTATTTATTTTTGGGACAGAGAGAGACTGAGCATGAACGGGGGAGGGGCAGAGAGAGAGAGGGAGACACAGAATCGGAAACAGGCTCCAGGCTCTGAGCCATCAGCCCAGAGCCCGACGCGGGGCTTGAACTCCCGGACCACGAGATCGTGACCTGGCTGAAGTCGGACGCTTAACCGACTGCGCCACCCAGGCGCCCCCTATATATCATATTTTAAAGCATGCTATAAAACTCAAGGAACTTTAAAAAGGATATTTCTAACCTCTTGCCATTAGGTAGGTAAAATTCTTCAACAACCCAAGGTAGATCCATATTTTAACCATAGTTTTCATAGATTTCTGAGGGTAGAATTTATACATGCCCATTCTATAATCACTTTCTGACTTTAGCCATTGTCTTTTTTATCAGTTATTCTTTTTGTTGACTTTTTGCATTTCATCTCATCTAAAACTTAAATTTAAGATGCATTTGAAGTACAGAAGTGTGAAAATATGAAAAAAGTACAGTGTAGAATTAATGAACTGTGGTGTATACTTATGCACTGGTTATAGTTAGAAGAGCTTTAGATCGTGAGCTAAACTTCAGTTTCACTAAACTAATTATATGAGTTTGTGCAAGTTACTAAACCTCCCTTGGGCAAACTTTATACAACTCTAAAATGAGTTCTACTATAAGAACACTGAGAGCTCTGACCTTTTATCACTTTTTGTTGCTAAGGAAAAAGGAAAATGTATCAAACTAAATTTAAATTATCCGTTAGCCCAACATTTCCCAGTGTGTATGGAATACTAGTTTCAGAATGTAAATTAACATGGTAAAGGTTCTGAGAAGAACTGTTAAGAGAACTGTTAAGAAAATTGTTTAAACCTATTCAACTCAGCATTTCCCAAATTAATTTGGGTATGATTCCTTTTTTCAGATAATAATACATATTTCTTATCCTCTGATAGAACACATTTGGGAAACTAGCATAGCCTTTGTTTCCCAGTAAAATTTCTCCCAAATACATTTATGTTTCATAGAACCTAGTTTCTTTCCCATTTCAAGTCATTTTAATTCCATGTTATTTTTTAAGATAAGTGTAAGCAAACACTTTACATAATATTTTTAAAGTTTCTAAACTCTAGAAGTGCTAAATGTAAGAGTCCTTTCAACCTTTATTGCATCATACTGCTTTTCAAAAGAATGTGGTTCCATGTGTTTTCCTAAGATACTTTTTGTTTGGTTGAGTTTTTTTGTTTGCTTTTGTTTTTCCTAACTGGTCTTCTCCCCTTCTGTGTCATGTTTTGTGTTTGGTTTAGTTGAACATCACCCTGTTTTGTGGTGCTGTTTCTTATCAGCATCTGTTTCCTGTTGTTATTTGGCCATATATGTTAACTATCACATGTGAATAGCTTAAGTGTGTAAGAAAGATGCATAAATTCAAATCAGTTTTGTAAGTAGTTCTGGTTTACTTTGGAGGAAAAAAAAAACTATAGGTAATTTCATAACCGTGTGAAGAAAAAAACAAAAACAATTCATTCTCATCATTTGTGGTAGTTATGTCCTATAAAGTTGCCGTAAATGCTGAATTATTGAATACCAACTGGAAATTACTCTTAGGAAAAATGGAGAGTTAGATTCCTGTAAGCTTCTAGCCACAACATTTTCATCACCCAATCAGTAAATTACCTTGTTTTAGATTTCTGTTTTACACCTTATTTTAATATATATTACTGATTCATTAACATTGAACTCATGGCCAACAGCATTGTAAGTCATGTCTGAACAGAAGCCTATCCAACACACACATTTTTTCCATAAGGCTTGCCACAGTCTTCATGTGACTAGGAATATTAGACAGCACTTCAGCACCATACAGTGAAATCACCAACAATACACAAACAGGCAACAAACATGGCACTCAGTAGACTGTAAAGAGGACAGTAGGAGAACTGAAACAAGAAGGCAGAGCATCGCTATGTTCTACCTCAACTGGGAAGGTACATGTCGAGCAACTCGAAGTTTTTTGCTGCTCTGTGAAAGTCTGTTCATGATGACAATAAGTGCAGGGGTTATTAGTTTTTTTGTTAAAATACATTTTAGCCTTATAGGTAAATTTGCAAATATGGAATCTACAAAGTATGAAGATCAACTGTAAATGAAGAGGGCATAGAAAGTATATTGTCTAGTACCATCCTGACCCCAGAAGTTCATTTGGTATAGAATATATATTTGTTAGAAAAAGTTAAGAGGGGCGCCTGGGTGGCTCAGTCGTTGGGCGTCCGACTTCGGCTCAGGTCATGATCTCGCGGTTCATGAGTTCGAGCCCCACGTCGGGCTCTGTGCTGACAGCTCAGAGCCTGGAGCCTGTTTCGGATTCTGTGTCTCCCTCTCTCTCTGACCCTCCCCCGTTCATGCTGTCTCTCCCTGTCTCAAAAATAAATAAACATTAAAAAAAAAAAAGTTAAGAAATGTCCAATAATTAGTTAATATAAATTAAGCTAAGTATTTAATTTTGCTTTTGAGAAATAGTAAAATTTTAAAGCTTTTTGTTTAAAACACTCTTAATAATAAAATTTGTTTACATGATAAAAATAGATACGCAGAAAATATTTTGATTAAATAAAAAATTTGTTGAATTGCCTCGCATAGAATTCATCTAGTGAAATTTCTTTAATTGTTTAATTTTTATACAGGGGGAAAGTCCAGGAAGCAGTCATAGGTAAGTAAAGCTTTTTTTTTTTTTTTTTTAATATAATGTCTGTGTGAATCATAAGAAGCTCCCTAAGAAGCGAGGCTCTGTCATTTGCTTGCTTTGAGGGATTGAACAGTTTACATTTTAGGACCTTAGTTTTCTCTTTCTGTAAGATTGAGACAAATAATAATGTCTCAAACTGTTGCTTTGAACATTAAGGAATTGAATGTACATGATTGCCTAGTGCTCTCCTATTGAACCTAAGTCGTGTATATTGTAGTTTTTAATAAACTATTTAATATTAATAATTACATTTCCTTGAATTTTTAAAATGTGATCGCCCTTTTTCTTCCTCATGACATTCTAAAGTTTGTTTTACTAATAAGGTTAACTAGAACCTTGATATTTCAATTTGTTTAAACAGCCTCTTTAGATTCTTCCTGAGCTACTTGAAAAAGAACCATCTGTCTTTAACTCAAGAGTTCTTAATATCAAGAGAATATTTTCATATACTGTTTCATATTTTGAATGAATGTTCTTTATCTTTTTTAGTTTAGCAAACATTAGGCAACTATCATGTGGCACTATATGAGGCACTGGGATTAAAAAATCAAACATGGTTCTCTCCATTAGAAGAAAGAATATCCTGGTCTAGGAGGTAGTTTGTGTAGATGACTAATTTCAACATAAGATGGGGAAAGAGATTAATTAGCAGTTATAAAACACGCAGGGAAAATGCAGGAGAGACCCTTTGCCTAAAATGTGTGAGAAGAGGTGTGTTGTGGTAGACTTCTTTAAGATGACACTTAGGTCAATCCTGGGAGTGTTGGCTAGTGATGACTATCCAGAGGAGGAGAGCATTCCAGACAGAAGAAATTGCACGAACAAAGGGGGTTGACAGGAAAGAGTTACAAGAGAATTTTGTGGAGGGATGGATATGTTTGTATCTTCCTTTGTGTTGAAGTTATATGAGTGTATACAGTTGTCAAAACTCTTAAGTGAAATAACACTTGAAATGTGTATTTTATGTGAGACCTCAAAAAGAAAACTTAAAAAAAAAAAAAAGCCCCAGGCAGAAGTTAGGGCTAGAGGAACAGAAGTAGGAGACATTACCTTATACTGATGGTTAAAACCGTGATCATTATCAAGATCACCAACCCGAGATTGGGACCAGGAGGAAGTGGGTTGGTTGGAGTGTGTGGAGAGAGAGCAACGGTCTGAGAACTGAATAGGCAAACACTAGAAGAGGATTCTGAAGACAACCAAGACTCAGTGGGCAAAAACAATTAAAAGACCATGGTGGACATATCTGTCTTTATCTCATTTCCCTCTTGTGTATCATCTCTGTCTCTACCTGCTAATGTTGATGTGAGGATTGAAATTAATTAATATACATAAAGTACATTGAAGAGAACCTGATACAAATTAAGTGCTAGATGTGCTATCAGTGTACATTTAGTTTCATGAATTTTGGCTGAAATGGGAAGGAGAGGGAGCAGTAACTAGAAATAAATATAGGTAAAATGAAGATTTTTCCTTCTTTTTTTTCTTCCTTCCCTCTTCCCTTCACATGGAAGAAAGGTAGACAGATAAAAAGTAGGGTGAAGCTGAAAGAGAGGTGCTAATTAATAGGCAATGTCCCAGGGAATGCCCTGGAGTGGGGGAGGGAGGGTGGCATCCATGTCAAATGAATCAAGAGTAGAAGTATAGCAGATGACCTTGAACAAGTTAAGGAATGCCAGCTCTTCAGAGGATTGAGGGAAGAATAGAGAGGATAGACTTAAGTAAGAGGTGAGGTGGCAAGAAGCTGAAGGAATTGCTGGTTGATATCCTCATATCTCAGAGTGGGGTGAAGTTAACTTCTGAGAGAAAAGAGTTTATTTTTTTTTCAATGTTTTTTTATTTTATTTTTGGGACAGAGAGAGACAGAGCATGAATGGGGGAGGGGCAGAGAGAGAGGGAGACACAGAATCGGAAACAGGCTCCAGGCTCTGAGCCATCAGCCCAGAGCCTGACGCGGGGCTCGAACTCCCGGACCGCGAGATCGTGACCTGGCTGAAGTCAGACGCTTAACCGACTGCGCCACCCAGGCGCCCCGAGAAAAGAGTTTAAATGCGGAACTTAAGGAGTACTTGAAGATTTGAAGTATAGCTTAAGATGTGAGAGGTAGTTGATCATGTCTAAGAAAAGGGTTATTGCTAGGGACTGAGAACCAGATAGGTGTTAGATTTTCTTTAGCAGCTCTCAGGAGAAAGGGCTAATCATGGAAGTGATCCAAGGTCAGAAAGTAAGCTGGGTGAATATGGTATTATGATAGGAATGCAAGAAGGTGTGTATGTTGGTAAGAAAGTACTTCAAATTTGCCATGGTGTCCACATTGGTTGTATGTGAAGTATGGCCAGGTAATCAGCATAGGTTGACGAGGAGAAAAGGGAAGGATCAAGGGCCTATGGTGACCAGACTGACTGATTGGCCAGGATAAATCGGGAGGGTATCGGGTATGAGAGTTAAGAGTTCTAGAATGAATGGTAAGAGGGCTATCAAAGCATAGCTTTATGCTTTATGGTGAATATTTTGGAATATGGTCAGATGGCTGAAGCAGAGCCAAAGTGAAGGTAAATGGAGTCCACATATCTTAGAAGTGGTTGTAGTGCTAAAAAATAATCTGAGAATATATCATCCTATTCAACATATATACCAAATTATAGCAAGTGTTAGAATGTATGCCTTTTTACTCTTAACAATTGAAATTATAGCATCAAATTGCTTTAATACATTTTGGACAGTAAAATTTTAGTATTTCTCTGGTTTATGAGTTTTTTATTTGGACTTGAACTCATCAGAAGTATTTTTTCTTTTCTTTCTTTTTCTCCCTCATTTTTCTCTGTAGACCTCTTACTGAGGAAGAAATTGTTAACCTAAGAGAGAGGCATTATGATTCTATTGCTGAAAAACAGAAAGATCTTGATATGAAAATTCAAAAAGAGGTAAATAGTCTTTTATGTTGCTTAAGTATGTGTTCTCATAAAGCTTCAGTTTATAGTATGGAGAAAGTTGTCATTAATATAGGGCATATGAGCAGTCACTGAACCTATATTTAGATATTATACAGATGAAAATTATTTAAAAGTAAGAGAAGAACAAAAAGTAAAAGAATAATGTTCCAGTCTATTATAGTTTCTTTTATTTTGATTTAATTGATCAGAAATCATATGCTGCCAAAAATGAAGATAATACATTCTTCTAAAAAATAACATCTTAATTCACAAGTAGAGACTCTAGCAAGATACATGTATTTTTGTGTTTAAAACCAACTTTTAAAAACTACTCTGTTTCACAATAAGTATTTTTTAAGTCTTTTTGTTTGTCTTGGATTTATTTATTCTTAGTAAGTGAACCATAAACTATAATCCTAAATGTTATATTTATTTTAATGTGTTGATGGAAATGGCCTATAATTATAGTTTTGCTAATCAGTAAGTGGAATTAGTCATATTCTGTTATACATTTAAGAACAGTTTGTTTAGTACCAATTACTGATTTCAACAGCATTAATTTAAGCTATGCAAATAGATGTTAATATTAGGCTAAAGAAAAAATCATTGAAATTTGATTTTTAAATTTGGTTTGACATGCAATGAATTATCACTAAAGCAGTTTGGATGCTATTAGGAATAGCAAGAATTTAAATTTGAAACTAATTGCTGAATAGCTTGGTGGTAATAAAATTCAGGACACATGTGCATCAATGAGACATGAACTTTGTGAAAGCTTACTTCACTTTGATAGATGGTGGTATGATTGGCCTTAGTTTAAAGACCTTGGACTCAGGAGAGCCAAAACCATTAAACTAGTCAGAGTGATAGGCATTGGAACAATTGTTGAGCATGAAGATCACTATATATTCTAAAGAAACAATTTTGTATTTCTGCAAATTAAATGCTACTACTTCATAATTCAGTTTCTAAAGAGTTCTATAATATCTTTGATATCATTTGAATTATTTTGTAAGAGGAGAAATTGAAATGAGAAATCACAAAAATTTCAATTCTGTTATGCTTTATAGAGGTCATTTATTTTTTTAATAATTTATTTTTAATTTTACAAACAAACATTTTATTTTTAGAGCAGTCAGACAGGTTCTGGTTTTTGTTAATCCTTATTGTTTTGTTCATGTACAGTTAGCCTTACAAGAAGAGAAGTTAAGACTAGAAGAAGAAGCTTTATACGCTGCACAGCGTGAAGCAGCCAGGGCAGCAAAGCAGCGAAAGCTCTTGGAGGTGAGGGGAAAAGACCCCAATATATGTCAGGGCTGCTCATCTCCTGATTTTCTCTGACAAATCTCAGTTGAGACTTCTTCCACCCCCCAGAATCAAGGGCTTCTTGTTTAACAGCAAATGTATTTATGCATATATTCTTAGGAATTTTCATTTTTATTTTCTAGTTTATTTATTTTGAGAGAGAGAGCGCACAAGCAGGGGAGGGGCAGAGAGAGAGAGAGAGAGACAGAATCCCAAGCAGGCTCTGCGCTGTCAGCACAGAAGCCCCATGCAGGGCTTCATCCCACAAACTGTGAGATCTTGACCTGAGCTGAAATCAACAGTCGGATGCTTAACTGAGCCACCCAGGCTCCCCCATTCTTAGGAATTTTAAAGGCAAATTAGTTCGTCTTTAACAACTAGGAATAGCATCAAATAATTTCTACAGCACTTTTTAGTTTACTTTTGTGAGTATTTTTTAGACGAATTCGTTGAACTGCTAGAATTTCTTCTACTTCTTTGAATCTGGTAAGCTAGGCAGTTTGCCTCATCTTCAGATATTGTATATTTCTCATCTTTACTCTTGTGTCTTTGGGAGACTGGGAGTTTGAGTCTTGAGAAATCTTTGGCATATTATCAGAGAAGGCAACAGATTTATTATATCTCACCATGCTGTATGCTAATATGGCATTACTGTAATTGCCAGACCACTATTAATAACAGGCATTTATGGAGCCCTGGCTAAGTGTCAGGAAGTGTTTTAATTAGTTTACATGTTTTACCTTGTTTAATACTGACAACAATCCTAGGAGATAGGTAGCATTTTCAGTCCTCATTTTATAGATGAGGAAACCAGGGGACAGAGATGTTAAGTAACTTGCTTGAGATCCTGCAGTTAATAAATGGTAGAGCCGCAGTTCAAAGCACAGCAGTGCTTGGTCAGTTATCCTACTTAGCATCTTCCTCCATATTTTGCCTGTGTGAACTCTGTGCTGTAATATTAACTGAAGTAGTACAAAGATCATGTCACATAAGAATTATTGTAACAGAGAAACTGAAAAATCATGTGTCATATTGCCATGAATTTATATGTGACCAGTGCCCTTTTTCTCTTTCTTTGTCTCTATCTCTTTCTCTTCCCGCTCCCCTCCCGTTTTTATTAAATTGTTTCAGCAGATTAATTAGATTATGTGGGAGAATGGGTTTTTTTTTTTGGTTTTGTTTTTGTTTTTCAATATATTCTAACTTGTGAAAAAGGTTAAAAATTAACTCACCTACTAGGAAATAAAAATATTTTTCTGGCTATACTTTTGATAACTCTTCTTACTATAATAAAATCTCTACTGCTCACCTTTTAAAGACAAAAGCATTCCATATGCAGCATCTATTTGGGTTCTCTGAGTTTTCCAGAAACACATAATAGTCTGTACAACATACACTGGCACACAAACATACACAGATATATGCAAATCCATTCGATTTTCAATAGCATTATGAGTGTGTTAGGGCAGTAATATAGCCATCTGTAATTTACAGATAAACAGAAAGTAGAGAACATGCCAGGGATACACAGCTAATAAGCGTCAGAACCCTAACTCTTTTTTTCCTCCAAAGTTTATCTATTTTTGAGAGAGAGAGAGAGAGAGAGAGAGAGAGAGAGAGAAAATCCCAAGCAGGCTCCGCACTGTCAGTGCAAAGTCCAATGCAGAGCTCGATCTCACAAACCCTGACATCATGACCTGAGCCAAAATCAGGAGTCAGATGGTTAACTGAGCCGCCCAAGCACCACTTTTTTTTTTTTTTTAAAGTTTATCAAAGCCCTAACTCTTGACAGGTTTTCTAAATCCTTTGTTTTTATTATTTCTGAGTCAGCTCAGCCAGGTCTTCTAGGTCTTTTGTTTTATTGCTATTTATTTCAGCCAAAATAGAACTTCATCCACTGTTTTAACTATTTTTTTCTTACCCCTCATACTTCCAGTTATTATAAGTTCTTGGGTATAATAAGAATGTTGAGTACACCAATATATACCTGTTTTAAAAGTTATTTTTAATAACACTGTAAATATTCTGAGCCCTCAAGGATTATACAAGGATAGAGATTCTATCCATAAATAAGAGGATATAGAAATGAACAGTGATACATTTTTTTAAAAAAAAACTTCAATGGAATAACTTTTTAAGTTTGTTTTTTTTTTTTAGGAACTAGGAAAAAATTACCTTTTGGTGTTACATGAAAGATTTTTTTTAAATATAACTTTACAACAGAGTGATTTTGTATTGCATTATGTTTCCAAAGCAAGAAAGGCAGAGAGTTGTGCAGCGATACCATCCTTCGAACAATGGAGAATATCAAAGGTAAACAGTGAAACATAATACTTCCCTTTGTAGTAGAAAATGTTATTTCCAAAGAGAACACAGTTCAGCTCTGGATATTTGTATACATACTATGTTTATGTGTTCCCTAAAAAATAGAGACACTACTTTGTAAAAAGACTGAGAACATTTGCTTTCTTTACATTGGAAAGTGCTCATTATTTATTTAGATTAATTTCATTGTGTTTTTAAGAGTGGTCATATCTTCCATATAGAAAATAATGCAGTAACAGACCAAATGCCTTTGGATAAATTGCTTATGCCTTGCTAGATTGTGTTTTCCTTAGCACCCCTCTTTTTCTTATAACAAAGTTTATGTATGATTGTTTTTTAGAACACACATTACAAAGTTGTATTTTCCACTCATTCAAAGAACCTTGTTCGTGCTTCATTATTATAAATTATAAAAATGGGCTTATGACTAAACTTTGACTTCAAGATTAACCAAAATCTTATTATTTTCAATTTATTGCTAGCATTAAGAAAATTAGGACCTATTTTCATTAGGTAATTCTAATTGTATAGTAATTATAAATTTGTGTGGGATAGACCCTCAAACTAAAATGCCTTCATTAGCATAAGCATGCATTTTGTTGCATCTACTATGAATATATTAAAAAATTCTTTTACTTTTATTACAGTTCAGGACCAGAAGATGACTTTGAATCTTGTTTAAGAAATGTAAAGTCACAGTATGAAGTTTTTCGAAGTAGTAGTAAGTCTTTTAAAATATATGCATACATTTTAATTTTACTTAATGCCACAACAAACAGATAAATGGAGATCCTGACTCTCATTCTATAGAAGAACTTCCTGCCCTTTAAAATTGTATTTCCCAGATATATCAATTAACTAGTTCTGTATTATACATTTGTATCTTTCCTTTTCAAAAGGGAATTGGAGCAAAGAAAAATCTCAGGGTATTACTGTAGATCTGGATGGAGAGTCAAGCACATGTTTTTCTATTTCTACTCTGGTCCTACCTCTCCATCTCCCAGAAGAAGGGAAGATGGGAAGAAGTAGTTACAAAAGTATACTCATTTTAGTTATTACAAATTAATTAAAGACTAAATGTTTTAAACATTAAAAAGATTAAGATTAAAATGTTTTTCTCTAAGTTTCAAAAGTTGGAACCCCAAAAGCAGTTCCTCTTGAAAACATGGACTGATTTTCATTTTTATTTGTTAATTTATTTTTTTGTCCCTCTTTATAATTGGCTATTAAAAATATTACCTAGAGTTTATTGTATTGGAATTGTATTGTATTGTATTGGAAAAATAATTCATTTATTTATTTATTTATTTTAACGTTTATTTTTTTTTATTTTTTTTTAATTTTTTTTTTAAACGTTTATTTATTTTTGAGACAGAGACAGAGCATGAACAGGGGAGGGGCAGAGAGAGAGGGAGACACAGAATCTGAAACAGGCTCCAGGCTCTGAGCTGTCAGCACAGAGCCCGACGCGGGGCTCGAACTCACGGCCCCTGAGATCATGACCTGAGCCGAAGTCAGACGCTTAACCGACCAAGCCACCCAGGCGCCCCTATGTTTATTTATTTTTGAGACAGAGAGAGACAGAGCATGAATGGGGGAGGGTCAGAGAGAGGGAGACACAGAATCTGAAACAGGCTCCAGGCTCTGAGCTGTCAGCACAGAGTCCCACGCAGGGCTCGAACTCACGGACCATGAGATCATGACCTGAGCTGAAGTACGCCGCTCAACCGACTGAGCCACCCAGGCGCCCCTATATAATTCATTTCAATTTGCATGTTAATCACGCTACATGGTAAAAAAATAAAAAGAAAGAAAGGGGAAAAGCCTTATATTGTTCCCAATAGAAACTTAACCAATGTGATGATTTCAATAATTGTTTCTTATGATGTTAAAAGTAATAATACTTGGAGAAAGGTAATATTACAAAATAAATGGTTGTGATAAAAGAATATAAATGACCACATTATATTTAATGTATATTCTAGGACTCTCATCAGATGCCACAGTTTTGACACCAAATACAGAAAGCAGTTGTGATTTAATGACCAAAACTAAATCAACCAGTGGAAATGATGACAGCACTTCCCTAGATCTAGAGTGGGAAGATGAAGAAGGTATTTTATATTCACAATTATACCTGAAAATTTTAATCTGTGTTAATTTATAGAAATCTACTTGGTATTTTACTTTAAACTGAAATGAGTGCAAGACCATGAAAAATCAGTATAAAAATGTCCTAGTCTCTTACTATATTAGTGATTATTATCTGTTGATAAATGGTTTAGAAAGTTACTTAATTCTTAGTGTTTCTTGCGCTTTAGAAAATAAATGTTAATGAACCTATAGTACTTAATAAGAAGAATTACTGCCCCCTTGTGGTCTACGTAAAGCCAAAATTTTATTATCTTTTGGTTCATTATAAATGGTAGGGGGTTTTTTGTGTAGTTCAAAAGCTGTAAGTAACATGGACATGGGTTTGAATTTTAGCTGGTATGTTTTCCTAGCTCTAGTACTTTCAGGAGATTTCTTAATCTCTTCAGAGCTTCAGTTTGTTCATCATAAAAAGGGAATAATAAACCTACTTTAAAGGATGACTATTCACCATTGTATACACAGTGTCTAAAATGCCTGGCACAAAATAAATAAAGAAATGAAATGAAATGAAATGAAATGAAATGAAATGAAATGAAATGAAATGAGGCACACAATGAGCAGTCCATAAATATTTGAACAAATGAACATATGAATGTTGTGAGGATGAAATAAAATGTATATAAAATACCCACTACAGAGTATAGCACAAAGTACTCAAAATTGTAGCTAAAACATGGGAGGTTTTTAAAGGCTATTTCACTGAATAAGGCTCAAGTTTTCATTTTCATTTTCATTTTCATTTTAGGAACTAGGTAATCCACAAAAAGGAAGAACCAATTATAGAATGTAGGACTTTAGAAGAATAGTAAGCATTAAGTATTTTATAGAATTTTGAGATGCAATGGACCTTAGTCCTCTAGTCAAGCCATTTCTTTTATCAAGAAACAAAGATACAAGGGACTTGAATAACTTTACCAAAGATTGCTTTAACTTACTTAATTAAGTCGTCTTCTCAGCTAAACACTTTCCACAGTCCTGTACTTCTGTTATTTTGTATCTGCGTCCCAAGCAGCAGACTTTAAATTTATTTTTATTGTAGCATCTTTTTAAGTTTGATTTAAAGCCTGTGAGGTCTTTCAATTCCAGAGTCTGTCATCCACACTGTATGCTAATCAGATTTGTAAATAATATGACTTTTGAGGTTATTATTCTAGTCATTAACACAGTTAGTTACTAAACTAGACCAGGTAGGAGAGAGAGCCAACTAGAAACCTTTCCTTAACAAGGCCTCCATAGGACTGACTCTTGAAGTTAATTAACAAACCAAGTCTGATTGTTAAATAAAAACTGTATTACTAACTGGTAAGTCTTTTGACACAGCTTCTTAAATTTTCACTGAGATTTGTAACAACTCTCCAAATAATAGGAATGAATCGCATGCTTCCGATGAGAGAGCGTTCCAAAACAGAGGAAGACATTCTCCGAGCAGCACTTAAGTACAGCAGCAAGAAGACTGGAAGTAACCCTACATCAGCCTCTGAGGATTCCAATGGGCTGGAGTGGGAGAATGATTTTGTTAGTGCCGAAATGGACGGCAATGGCAATTCTGAGTATTCTGGATTTGTAAATCCTGTATTAGAACTGTCTGATTCTGGCATAAAGCAATCTGATGCAGATCAACAGAAACGATAGGGTAAAATCGTGTGACCCGGTTTATCAGTTGTGACCAAATTTTAAAAACCAACTAGAATGTATAGATGGTTGTGCTGAGCCGTTTTGTAAGAGGGAGATAAGAAACCATGTTGTAAATGCTTATTAGAAAGGAATAGAAATGATAGGCTATATCTGAGTTGCTTCAGAATTAAGTGCAATTTCATCATCTGCCTTCTGCTTTTCAAAAACAATTTAATGGTTCTGTCATGTTATTAGATCTATTTTAACTCATCTTTATAGCATTCCTGTTTACTATTTGTAGATTTTCACTTTTAAAAATAGTTTCATTAATTTTACTTTGAATGCTTCTCAAACCTATTTCAGTAGGTCTCTGTGAAAATATTAGGGCATTTTGTGTTAATTCTCAGCAGATGTGAAGGGAGCATGAGGAGGGACTGCCAGATCAGATATATAATCGTGTTCCCATTTCCAGCATTATTTACTCCTATGACTTACTTAAATTTTATTATCTAATAGTAAGCACAATTGAGTAGATGACCCTAAGGAAATGCTGAAGTATCCGTTTCTTTCTACACTTACTGCATATCCTAGTATAATAATGTTGATTCAGTCTGAACAAAGGATAATATGTTACAATAAACTCTCAGAGTTTGGACACTTGAAGCTGGTAATCAAAAATAATATTGAAGAAAAAATATATATTTAGGTTTTTCTCTTCCTTTTACATGCTGCCAGTATAAATGAATATTGACTTTAAGTTAATTGATATATTAAATTTCTAAGTGTCATTTTTTAAAAATTCTATATTTCCAATGAATGGTCTTAGAAAGATTTTACACAGGACATATTCTCTGTGCATGATTTATTAAGAAGGGAAAACCTAAAAAGGCAATACGGGTATTTCAAAGTAAAATCCTTTCTGGTGTGAAAGGATCCATTGATTTTATTAAGCTTTCCTTTGCCTTGTAATACAAGGTGCTTTAATGGGATGGAACTAAGCATATCAGCATATAAAAATGCATTTTGTTTTATGCATTGAGCTCTTCTTTTCCCCAAAGTTTATGTATCAACTTGAAAGGCCAAGGATATAAGCACTCCCTAATTGCTTGTCTTAATTTTGCTGAGGATTGAGTATGATTTTAGTAAGCAGACTGTTTTCTGATTTTTCCTTGGTGTGTTTTTTTTTTTTTCCTTGCAGCAATGACAGTGCATGTTCTCAAAAATATAGGAAGGTCCAGATATAAATAGTAACTTAAAGTTCTCGCTGTACTTAAAACAAAATCATGTGGCCCTTTCAATATTTGAACTGCTAGGCAATGACATCTATAGTTTCATCTTTTTTAATCTCCTAGAAATAAATATGATACTTTAAATATGTAAATATATTAGGTAATGCTGTTATTTATGATTGTCTGAACATAATTTAAGTTGTAGCTTTGTCACTGGAAATATTTTAAAAGTAATCTATATTCACATTGCCTGTGTTACGCTTTTTAAAGTTTGTATACATCAGATGTATATTTTTGGTTTGGCATAAGCTACTATTGTAATTTTTCTTGGCATTTTGTTCATAAAAAATTTTTTGAAGGAATGGTAACTTCTCAAGGATTGTGAATAAACACATTTTTACATTTAAAAATAATAAATTATTTGATTATTTCTAGTTTTACTCTATAAAAATGCAATAATTCCGACTCCTAGGGCATAATTATTTTACTAAATCTGCTGTGAAGACAAAAAGGAGTGAATTAGGAAAGCAGGGTGGAACTAAATTTTAAAATGTTTGTTTTAACTGCTAAGAAGAGGATATAAATTTTCTTGTTTTATATATTTATAAAAAACACTAGAAATAGCATTTATTTATTCAGCAGATATTAGAGAATCTGTGTCTGATAGGGTATTAGGGATATCGTGGTAAAAAGACATAAAATGTCCAAGCTCTTTTGCCTACATTCTGATGAGAGAGACAAGACAGTAACAAGTAAACATCTAAACAAGAAAACCACAGATCACAATTAGGAAACATACAAGAGGAGAGGATGCAGGATAGCTGGAGACGAGCGGATTACTTTTGGTAGGTCAAGCGAGCCTTCTCTGAGGAGAGGACATTTGAGCTGAGACCTAATTGCTGAGCAGGAACCAGCCCATGTAAAAAGCCTGGTGACACAGGTTATAAGCAAAAGGAACAGCAAATATAAAGTTCCTGAGGTGAAGGAGAATGTTTGGTATGTTCTGAGAATGAAAAGACCACTGGGACTGAAGCATTGTGAGGTAGAGTAATATGAGATGATATCTGAGGGGTATTTAGGGCCAGATCATGTAAGGCCTTATAGACTATGGTTAAGAATTCATTTTATTTGATGTATAAAGCCACTGACTTTTTGTAAGCTAGAGTGTAGAGTGATCAGAGTTGAATTTTTGAAAAATTCCTCTAGCTGCTGTATAGAGAATGGGTTATAAGAGGGCAAGAGTGATACTTGCAATGGGACATGGTGTGACTTGGGTTGATAATGATGATACCAATGCAGAGCTGATAAACTTTAGAGGAAGAATTAACAAGATTTTCTAATGGGTTAGATATGGGGGCCAAAAAGGAGTGGGATCCAAGATAACTGTAGGATAATGCTTCCAGCACGGTGACCTGGTGACCTTGCTCACTGCATATCTACCTAGCAACACTCAACCCCAGTCCAGCCTGTCTTGACAAAGCCCTATGATCCTTCCTGGAACATGGCAAGATAGGCAGTCTTAGAGGAGCTGTGACAAAGCCATTTATCATCTGCTTCCCTGTCTTGCAGAAGGCCGCGATGAGGCAATTTCTCACCCAACTCCTTGGTTCTAGTGAAGCATGGGATTTTCACCCCACCCCCATTCACTACAGTTGTAGGCTAATAAAACTGTTTGGCTGGAGTTCATTAGAGACGGCTTTTTCAACAACAGAGCTACCCTCCATTTATGTGTCATTTAGCCTCTGGGGTCCAGTGTCCTACGGACATCCGTAGGGACCAGGGATGTGGGACACTGACTCCATGCTGATCCTCCTTTTGCTATCTGTGTAAGTAATAGACTAAGTCTATTTGAGCTCATTGTCTCCCTGCTGGCTAAATCTATGGAAGTGTGACAGCCAACCTAAGAGCTGCAACTATGCTTGTCAATAGTTTTTTGGTTTCTAACTTAATGAATGCAGTGGCAGGAACAGATTTAGGAAGGTGGAGGAAATTAAGAGTTCTGTTTTGGGAAATTAAATTTGAGATGTTTATGAGAAATCTGAATGAAGGTCTCAAGAAGGTGATGGGATATATGTCTGCAGCTCAGAGAAGAAGAAGTCAAGGTACAAGTTTAGGAGTCATTAGTAGGTAAAAGGTATTTGAAGTCATTACACTAGGTAAGATCACCCTGGGGAAGCATATAGGCAGAGAAGCCCAACTATTGATATTTAGAGAACAGGGGTAGAAAAACAGCCATCAGAAGCAAACACAAGAATACAGGAAACCAGGGGCGCCTGGGTGGCGCAGTCGGTTAAGCGTCTGACTTCAGCCAGGTCACAATCTCGCGGTCCGTGAGTTCGAGCCCCGTGTCAGGCTCTGGGCTGATGGCTCGGAGCCTGGAGCCTGTTTCCGATTCTGTGTCTCCCTCTCTCTCTGCCCCTCCCCCGTTCATGCTCTGTCTCTCTCTGTCCCAAAAATAAATAAACGTTGGAAAAAAAATTTTAAAAAAAAAAAAGAATACAGGAAACCAAAGAATGTGGTGTCACAGGAACTACTAGTGGCCGTGTGCCACCAAGTGAAGTGAGGAAGATGAGAATTGGAGCCAATAGGCACTGAGGGGCAGATGGTGGTGACTTAATCCCCAGCCACAGCCTCCTCTGCCTGAGGCCTACAGCAAGCAGTCTAAGAACAGTTCTGTCTTCAGAAAGAATTTCAAAAAAATTTCAAACATTTCAAAAAAATGTTTAGAATTAAACTTAGACCTTGTTTTTTGGAGAGAGAGAGAGAAAGAATGGAGGACGGGCAGAGGGTGAGAGAATTTTAAACAGGCTCCACACTCAGTGCAGAGCCCGACACGGGGCTCAACCTCGTGACCGTGATAATCTTGACCTTGAAATTAAGATCAGATGCTTAACCGAGGAATCGGTTAGGTGCCCCTAAACTTCAACTTTATTATGTGCATGGATGCTGTTAAAATTTTGAATTCATGCAATTTAAAAGTGTGTAGTAGAGACGCCTGGGTGGCTCAGTCGGTTGAGCGTCCGACTTCGGGTCAGGTCATGATCTGGCGGTTTGTGAGTTCGAGCCCCACTTCGGGCTCTGTGCTGACAGCTCAGAGCCTGAAGCCTGCTTCAGATTCTGTGTCTCCCTCTCTCTCTGCCCCTCCCCGGCTCATGCTCAGTCTCTCTCTCTCAATAATGAATAAATGTTAAAAAAAAATTTTTTTTAAAGTGTGTAGTACATAAAAATCAATGTAATATTTGGTAAGAAAACAAAAAAATTCTAAACATAGCAATGGTTTATTAAAATGTCTAAAATATTGGTTTTAGATATGAATATAGATACAGAGAACTACTTTTGGAAATAAACACCACAATTCTACAAAAAGGAAATCATAGAAAAGGTATTATTGCTCAAATAAGGCTTCCTATAATAAAACCACAATGACACATAGACACTGCTCCAAAACACATCATGCTGTGTTGCAGTACTCTAGCACTGCAAGTACCAACAGGCTACACCACCAGGAGCAACTCAACCATGGCCTTGACATTGAAAACAAAGAGCCGCTTGTGAAATAATATGACCAAACTAAGAGGTGTTTCCTTGCAAAACATAGGGCTAAAATCAAGCATAAAAAGAAAATAATATAACTATTTTGAGAACACTATTCCTTCATCACCAAGGATGCTTTTTGTACATTAATGTTCACAGAGGTACACTTAAATACACTTAAGAATTCTTCATACATCTAGGAATGCAACAGATGACTAAATCAATGACTAATATAATTTACAGACTTCAAAATGA